AAAAAGGACAACATTATAACGCGTTTCGAAAAAAACTTGTTTTTCGATCAAAGAAGGCTAAAAAACGCATTTGAATGCAAAGCAGACAAACGCATCCAAACGCATAAAACGAAGCACATTCAAACAGCGTTTTTAAGTTGCGTTTTAGTTTGGAAAAACGCGTTCAAAATAAAAAGGATGCATTTAAATGCGCTTGGAAAAGGACTCGATGCATTTAAACGCGTTGAGCTTACAAAACGATGCGTTAAAACGCAAAAATAGCGTTTTTATCTAAAACTTTGCGTTGAAACGCATTTTTATACCAAATTTGTTTTCATGAAACGTTCTCAAGTGGTCAAATCTAGTTGTTAAAAATGTCCAAAGATGGAAATTCAAATCTTAATCGGATGACTTTTGAGCGCTTTAAGAATGAAAGTAAACATTACCACTCGACTTAGCTTAGCCAAAAGACCCTATCTCGAATCGCTTTAGAATTGTCGGAGGTCAGCTTGTTCATTTCACGGCTCACAGAAATATGGTCATAGCCCATGAACGAAGTAGTCCATCGATTGTAAATCAATAAAGCTTAATTATTCCTATATCGAATAATCATATTTGGATTGAAAATCTGATGAAATCTTCTCAACTAAGAAGGTGTCTTTCTAGAGAATCTCTGAAAAATCTAGGAAGCTTCAACCAATGTAAATGTCTCTTGTTTCAGCTAAAACTTTCGAACGGTGAGACTCTTCGATCGCTAGCAAGTCGTGCTTGCAAGTTATTCAAAAAAGATTTTGTACCTTATATTTTGAAATCGAGAGTAGTGGACGTTTTTTGAACCGTTGGATACTAATATTCGAGTTCAATCGAGAGAGAAAGTTTCCGAATGAGTTCTCGACCCATACATATGATCCTTGAAATTTCATCAAGGACCACCCCTGATTTGATTTGCTTTAAAGTCCGAAATTAATAGAAAGCGGGAATGGGGCATTATCCATTTTTTCTTCTAACCTATAGAGCTGTTTAAAGGTAGGCCGCATGGTGAGCATTGTTTGTTCGACATTCAGCCTGTTACTATCGATCGTATAAGTCGAGAGCATTTGTTTCAATAGCAACACTTGCCATTTCGTTTGTATCTCTGTATCTGATTTCTCATTTAAAAATGAATGCTTTTGTAAACTTTTGAAAATCGATTCGATCAAATCAACTGACGGCTCTGATGACCAACGTTCGCCAAGTCGAAGCTTGCAATAAAACACTTCGATGCAGGCTAAGTGCCACATGTCAAAAATATCGGTTGTACCGAGAACATGTCCAAAGATATGCACGAGATCTGTGAACGACGACAGTGGGTCATCGGCACATCGTTCTATAACCACATCGACCAACGTGAATTTGACATTAATCGGCTGCTGAGAAACAGCTGCTTCAGCGAGAACGTAGTCGACAAGAGCATTTAATGCTTTGACTTTGAAGACAGGAAAGTCAATCGTGTTATTGTCACGGCCGTTCAGCAGCTGGTGCAGTCGATCACGTACACTGCTGGCCATAAGTCCCGCCCCTCTTGAACTGCAGTCTTTATGGGAGCTAGAAAGTTGAAATTTTGTGTGTCTATACTCTATGACGAACGCTGATTGCCAGCGCCACTCGCGCCAAAATTGCTCGAGTCAGAACGTAGTTATAATAGGTGGTAGTCATGCTTCTTGTGGAATTCATAATTCGAGAAAGGAAAGACCTATTGAGTCGGTCAACATCTCATTGTGTAGTACTCTATTCTACTTAGGGCAATCCAAAAGTAGTGAGGTAGGTACCTTATTTCCACAAGCAGCGGTCTAAAAAAGTTGCTTTTTTACCAATAGAAAGAGCGTGTTTCGCTCTATTTTTCTATGCTATTTGATCATTCCTCGCCTTCTACTAAGTTAGCGAAAGTTCGAGAAAAAGGTTTTTCGCGCACAACTCCCTGGTACACTCTAAATAAAAAGCGTTTTCTTGGAAACCCAGGAAAATAGGTTTCCGAACGGTCGGAAACCCAAATAGGTTTCTAGACTGATTCCGGAAACCTGAATACACTTTCGGATTGATCTCTGATACCTTTAAAAGGTCCTTGGAACGAAAAAATGGGTTTCCGACTTTCGGAAACCTTAAAAGCGTTTCGGATAGTGACAAATCCGGAAACGCTAAGGGGTTTCCAGGTTTTTGGAAACGGATCACTTTCTCCGGAAACCCTTCAGCGTTTCCGGGTTTGTCACTATCTGAAACGCTTTTAAGGTTTCCGAAAGTCGCAAACTGATTTTTTCGTTCCAACAACCTTTTAAAGGTATCAGAGATCAATCCGGAAACGTATTCAGGTTTCCGGAATCAGTCTGGAAACGCATTTGGGTTTTCGACTGTTCGGAAACCGATTTTCCTGGGTTTTCAAGAAAACGCTATTTATTTAGAGTGTAGCAGAAGCTGATGTTTTCGTCCATACATCATTCTTTCTCGTTTTTTTTGTGTTCTTCTTTCTTTTATTTCATTTTCTTCTTGTTATTATTTCTCACAATCTGATTCCACATGCTTTACTGTGTAACGAAAGCAATGCAAAGCTAAAGAAAACAAAAACAGAAATGAATTTAGTGATTATTTCACTAAGTGTTCAAAGCAAACACCATAATTATCTACACAGAGCTGCATTCTTTCGATCTTTTTCTCGAAGGTCCTTTTGTACTCGTCGCGATTTAAGGACTGCATGAAATCGGTCACAGCATCATGTTAGCATTCTGAATCATCTTGATCAGTCAGATTATTTTTGATCAAGTCGAGGGTGTGGGTATGGGTATGGGTATGGGTATGGGTATGGGTATGGGTGTGGGTGTGGGCGCGTGTGGGTGTGGGTGTGGATGTGGGTGTATTTCAGAGTGGATGAAGAGAACACCCAAACACCCACACCCACACTCCCACACACACCGCACGCCTACGCCCACACCCACACCCACACCCACCCACACCCACAACCCACACCCTCCACACCCACACCCACACCCGCACCACACCCACACCCCACACACCCACACCCACACACCACACCCACACCCGCACCCACACCCACACCCACACCCATCCACACCCAAAACGATTCATATACTGTCGGTAGCGAAGAAAAGACAAAAAGAAAGAAAATTACGCACTATATGTGTATATCTATAAAATGACACATGCATCTAACTCGAAAGTATCAACAGCGTTGATGAAATATCATCGTTTAGTGAGGTGAAAGCAATCATTAAAGATCAGTTTCAGTTGAATAAAAACGTAGTTATTGTCGCTCGATTTTGGCGGGATGGAATTGAATTAAGACAAGAAACGTATTGTTTGTTAAATAAAGAAGAATGTCCACAATCGAATATAATTAATATTTACAGCATGAAAAAAAACCAATTAGTGATGACAAACAAGACCAAAACTCTTATCGTCATCATGATGCGGAATTGAAAATCATGACATTGGACAGACAGATCTACTACATCAAAGTGTGCTGGATTTGGTCATTTCTTGAACGGAAACAAGAATGGCCATTATTATCGAATATTAATGTTGATGATATTCACTTTATCTACGCTGGCTCTGAGAAGAAGAATGATCAAATGTTGTAAATCTCGCGCAGTTTATGAGTTTCTAAAGCATCTTGCAGCAAATAAATAATTACAAACTAGTTACTGGTTGAAAGTATACCGTATTTATACATTTTTTACCACAACATAGAGAATATATTCAATTTTCATTGATAAATTAATTATGTTACAGTAAGAAAGGCTATTGATTCAAGTCAATAAAGAAAGTTTTACTACTCGTGTGTGTTTGGGATCTAAACTAATTTTAATTGAAATTATTTTAGCTGAAAATAATTGTGCACATTCCTGTTGTCAACATCAGTGTGTTGTAAATAATAGATTGCGATATTAACAGTAAGAATCTGATCCTTGATAATAGATGTACGTAAAAGAAGGATAAAAATTATAGTGATTGTTTCTGATCATGAAACAGTTAAAAAAACAATATATCAGAGTACATCGAAGAACGCGATCTGAGCTAATGAGGATTCTTGCCTAATGTAATTGAGCTTATGAAACGGATAAGAACGCATTCTATTTTTTCAAAATCGATGTTTATATTCATGAGAAAGTAATCGACAATTTGAAGAACAACAGAGAATACGTTCTTTTCTTTATAAGAATGATATTATATTGTTCTGAACACGTTCATCACATTGGAGAATCCACTTTTAAAGTGTTCTTCTACAGAACACCAAAGAAAGCTATCTCACCTTGATGGAATCCTATTCTAACCTTTCCAAAGAAGAACAATAACGTTGACATTCCAATTATTAGTGTAACAGTTTTGAACGTTTTCTATGCAGATGAAGTACGATTTGAAGCCGAGAAGAAAGCGTTCCATAATATCGTCGAACGACAAAGAATGCATTCTTTGAGTTTCAGAACGTATTCGTCAATCTGTGAGATGCGTTCTTTACAGAACAAATAGGTTTCCATATTTAGATGAATGCGTTTACTTCCGTTATTTTTTTACGAACATTTTTCACTGGGATACGTAGATAAAAATAAAAAAAAGCAATAAAAAACTTTGAAAGTCACATAAAAGTCAAGTATCCATGTCTCAAAGTATTAACAATACTTTTATATAATATACATTTCTATGAATAGAGTAAGTTGAAAAATTTCTGAAAATGTAGACTTCAAATTTTGATGAGATATTTCAAAATAGCTAATTTATACAATATTTTCCAGTTCGAAAACCCAAAAATCGGCCTAAAAAAGTCAATACGTGACTAATAAAATTAATTTTTAATCTAATCAATCATTCTATAATAGACCTAATTGAAATTTGTAAAATCTTAATAGATGTATTCATGTCTAACCATCATTCAGTATTTAATAATAACTCTCCTTCTTTCTACACATGAAATGATTTCTTTATTAAAAACGTTCATGTCTTTTTAAAATTGATTAGCAGATTAAAAACTCGAGTCAATTTGATTTATATTCCAATGCGTCCCACCATAATTGATTAATATTTTCATATAGTTGATTTCTTGGATCTGCTTTATTCCATGGTTTTGCATTTAAATAATGAATAATTTTTATCTTTGATAAATCCCATATATTTGGATGAGTAATAGAAAATGTTTTCAATGCATTATAAATCGATGGTAAAGATTTCCAGTTTTTTTCATAAAATTTGTTCAAAAAATCTTGTTCAGCAAATTTAAATTGACTTAAATCCCATGTATTTAAACATTTTAACATTTCTTGAAAAACATTTTCATTTGGATGAAATAAAAAGAATCCACCATTAAACATTCGACCTCGATCATCAATAGTTGATAAATCATTATGACTATATGGACAATTAGATGGATTCCAAAATTCCGGATAAGTCGAGATTTTACCTGGATTACAAATACATGTTTGAACAGCTGCAAAATCAGGATCATCTTCTAATTGAAATACTTCATCGAGATTTTGTAAAACAATCATATCACTATCAAGAAAAACGCATTTATCAGCAATATCAGTCATTTGAAATGCTCGTAATTTAGTCCATGCGAACATGAAATGTTGAGCAGCCAAATCTGATAATTCTTGATTTGGATATAAACCTTGAACATATTTTATAGAACATTCTTCATTTTTTATTTGTTGTTGAGCATCTTGTGATACGTTATCTTCAACAATTATAACTACTAGTGGATAAATTGTTTTCGATCGTTTTAATGAACGTACTAAAGCTAATACACCTGGTAAATATTCATCATTACAAATTAATGTTACCCATGCACAACGATCATTTTTGTTTTTTCCAATGAAATAATTTTGATAAATGCTTCCAAGAAATTTTCTTATCATCGAACCATATTCAAACAATATTTCAAACATTTGTTAAAACTTTTCGAGTTATATTCAATCCTAAGTATAATAGTCAATGTTTGTTTTTTAACGTCAATGATCGAAAGTAATGAATAATATCAATAAATACTGTCTTTCCTTGGTATTCTGTAGCGTTTGAATACTTATTTTTTTAAACCTTTGATCAGATATACTTATAAATACTAATGCACGTCGCTCTTTTTTTTTACCTGTATTCTAAATATTTCTGTTCTGTTTTTGCTAAAACATGTATTATGTATGTGTATGATGATGACAGGCATAAATCTTTCGATCACACGTGCTCGATCTGATAGATTGACATCAAAAAGACAAGGTTTGCTTTTGATATAAACAAAGACGTAACTAAATAGAACACCATATTTATTCACTTATCCATATAATTCTATCCGAACAAATATTAGTAATACGACTTATTAAGGATGAGAAAAATAGTAACCATTCGTTTACTCACCAAATCATTGTGAATCACTTTTGTTGTTTTGTTGTCATACAAAGTCATCCATGCGTAGAAGGTTCATTCTCATGTGCATATAACAGATAACACGAAAGAAAATGAATTTTATTTCTCATGGATGACATCCTATGACAACAGAACGACAAAAGTAATCCGCAGTGACTTGGTGAATGGGTGACTAATATTGGCTCCATTCCTATTGATTAGATAATCGAAAATACCCAGTATCAATTGAAAAATATTTTGCTTATAGAATTATTTTCTCTTATATTCTTGCATCATATGTTTGAAACATTTAATGCTACACAATGATTTCATGATATTAGCAAACTTATGTATGTCCGATATAATCTTCTCGATTGCATATGTTCTATATGTTTCGAGAATTCAAAAGTTAGACATCTAATGACAACAGATTTTTTTTTTAAATTTTCATACATTTCAATCCGATCGAAAAGATGCCCTTCGATGGATATCAAAATTTCAAGACGAATAGCCGAGGCTTCACTTTTCTCTAAGTCGATGGTTCGACAAGAGATGAACAGTTTTCGATTCGAGAAAATCTATCAGACTCAAATCGATGCCTTGAAATACTTATCGACTAGCACTTTAGATCTTTCGGTGAAAAACTAATATACTGTTCATTTTACTATCGTTTTTATTTTATAACGTTCAAATCGAAAAAGTAAAACCCCATTAAGTTTCGAATAATCAGTCGATTCAGGTATCATAAAATATTAACTTGTAGAAACTATTTAAAAACAAACATTACAATCTTCTTTTAAAAGACATGATAGACACTGAGTATTTCGCGATTACTCCTATATAATTACTGTGTACTCTAGTGAATCACGTAAAATACTCATATAAGCTGATATTCCGTTCAGTATAGTTGTACTACATCCATTTTTTATTTGAACGTAAAATTTACAACGAAAAAACACAGATGTCATAATTAAAATTTGAGAAAACAATCAATATGAGAGCTACAGATAATACTTGGTTTTCATTTTTTTAATGCAAAAAATATGGATAAAAGAATCTCGTGGAAAAGGAGAAGTAGAAAATAAATATGAGAAGAGTGAATATTCTTTGATTAAAATTTCAAACAGAAATCAATAGATTCAAGCTTTTGTGTTACTTTCTGAACACATCATCAGGAATAACAATGTGATTGTTATAATTAGCTTATATACGAACGTAAGTAAAGTTAGCACCAGATTCGAGTATTTCTTGTCCGGATTCGCTTTTTTACCTGTGTTAACTCTCTAAACACTTGTGTTAGGTGCCAAATTTTACGCTCTATCAAATGCTACTACTTTCAAGGTGGATCCTCGGGCAAAAACCACCACTTCTCCTCAAACTACTCATAAATTCCCTGTGTAAAAATAGCGAATGTGATGTATTTATTGTCCGGATTCGCTCTACGACTTGTGTTGAGTTTATAAACGCGTATGTTGGATGCAGAATTAAATTCTCTATCCGATGGTACTATTTCGAAGTACTGTCATCGGGCAAAAACTAGGGTTATGCCTCAAATACCGGGTCCAGCACCCTATCCAGGATGTATTTCTTGTCCCGATTCGCTCTACGACTTGTGTTGGCTCTCTCATTGAGTGTGTTGGATGCAGAATTAAATTCTCTATGGAATGGTGCCATTTACAATGGTAGCCATTGAGCAAAATTGGAGGGCTGCATCCGAAATACTGGTTTTGAGACTTGTGTTTGACGCCTAAGTTTCGCCACGAAATTTTTTGCACAGAGTTCCAGTGTGGAACAATCGTAAGAGCGGGAATATGTGTATGGAAAACTGTTAAATCTTTTGTATCAGATGCATAGCAGCATGAGAGTGAGGATGACGCTCTCAGGAGAACGTATTTTTTTTATTCTACTCTTCATTGAAGCTGATTGTAGCTGTCTATTTATGTTTTTAATTACTAACGAAAGTGCATCAGTGCGAAGGGCTATGAAATATGAGGCATAATTGGAAAGGTTTCACTAATTTGAAGTTTTTCCAGTTAGAATAATTTTCATTGTACCGTGCAATAGTGAACGAAAATAATATCCGATATTCACATATGATGTATTTGATTTATTTTGGAAATATGTACTGATTGATGAATAATGTCTAGGATAAAGTAATGTCGAAGAGTGCTGAGAAGAACAGGTAGGAGAGAAACATTGAGCCATATGATAAAAAAGATATTGTATAATAAGGTGGAAAAATAGATACGTTAGATAGGAGAGAAAATAGAGATGCAAAAAGGGAATAGATATAATGTAACGAGAGGAAGAATATCGTAACACATATAGAAGAACGCGCAAAGTGATAGATGATAACGGCTGATTTTTATACTGCTTAGCATTAAATCATGGGGAGAAAACGAGAAGCTCTATATATGCATATATTAAAAAAGTAGACGAAAAGAAAGTAAGAGGAAAAGAAACATATACAACTGACGGGTCATCATTCATGATATAACTCGGATATATTGAATCAAGATATTCACTATTTTACAGGTGATGATCTTTATGTCTATTATTAATGAAACTCTACAGCAAAAAATACAAAAAAATATATGAATTTTACAATAAAACAACGTCCAAATATTTTACACTATATCATGCAGTGCTAACATCTAAGGAAAATACATCTACAAACTTGTTCATTTCTTTTTCGACCTTGTTCGTTCGCTTTTGGATTTTAATATTGATGAATCTCAATATAACTAAGATAGTAGTAGATACAAGAAGCAACAAAAAATATATTAATAAGTTGCCGAGCATTTAAAATATTTTCGTTATTAATGGAGTGCTGTCGTAAAGATTCAATTGTAGTTGTTGAAGAGAATCTATAGCTCTTGCTTTGTATTCAGCATCTAAGCGACTTGTCAATGCTTTTATTGAGTATTGAAAATTTAATATTTTTTTGTAAGTTCCATGAAGTTTGGACGTGATCGCTAGCGTGTTGTTTGTACATTCTGATGATCTTAATTGAATATTTGAACATCTGATAGATGCTCCACATGGTAATCGTAAAATGGACGGTTCACTAATCGTTATGATATCAATTGAATTGCTCAAATGCAAAACGACTTTACAGTGCTTAACTTCATCAAGGCTATAGAAAACCCATATATCTTGCACTATATTGATGATAGCTGGTTGAGAATTAATTGAACGATTTATTTCGCAATCATTCGATGTAGAAGTGTCAGCTGAAAAAAGCTGTTCCATACAAGGCAAACTCAAAAGAGACACCCATGTTGGTTCTTCTTCACATTGTACAACTTTCGAGAAAATGCATTTAGATTTCTGCTCATCATTCCATGTGGTTAAAGTTTGATCTATTAGATTTAGACAGAACGTTGTTGGCATATTAGTATAACTATATTTTATTCTATTAACGCCAACTGGTATTGGATGCAAATTATAAATTGTAGGTGTAAAAGAATTAACGGGCGGTGGTCTTACCAATAATGTTGATGCAATTAAACATGGTGCATGTGAGTTCATTTCTTCATGATGAATTGTACATGAGCGGAGTGCATGCACTGTTTGAGATATAATCAGATAAGAAATGTCGTTCATTAATTCTTCTTTGCTTAACGAAACATATGACTTATCAATAGATGACATCAGTGGCGATAAGACTAGAGCACGTCCTACCTCTCTTCACAAATCAAATCCAATACAATTTTTCCTCATTTGTTCAATCACGATAGCTGCTGATGGTTTCGAAAAATAAGACTTCACATGCGGATTTGCTGCATTATTATCATTCGAGATTACATCAAGAGATTGATCATCGCAAGCTTTTACATAAAAATGATCATTGAAGAAGTGAAAACATGACTTAATGTTTCCCTAAAATCACCTGGTCGATAAACCGAAAAAAAAGAAACATTTTTGTTACTTCAGCTTGAAATATCATTTTTTTTTATATTGAGAAAATCATTACATCTTTTGTCTACATACCACTAATCTTCCCGATTCAATGATATTTTGTTCTCTTCATTGCGATGACCGTAAACATTTATCCGCTTTGGATGATGATAGGCATAGATTCTGCAAAGGTACCTATGTATGGATAATAACATGATAACTTCCGACATAACTCCCATTTTTCGGCCGATAAAGCCACTTGGAAATAGTATCATAGGATAGAGAATTTAATTCTGCATCCAACACACTCAATGAGAGAGCCAACACAAGTGGTAGAGTGAATCGGGACAAGAAATACACCCTGGATCGGGCGCTGGATCCGGTATTTGAGGCATAACCCCTGGTTTTTGCCCGATGACAGTACTTCGAAATAGTGCCATCGGATAGAATTTAATTCTGCATCCAACACACTCAATGAGAGAGCCAACACAAGTCGTAGAGCGAATCGGGACAAGAAATACACCCTGGATCGGGTGCTGGACCCGGTATTCGAGGCATAACCCCTAGTTTTTGCCCGATGACAGTACTTCAAAATAGTACCATCGGATAGGGAATTTAATTCTGCATGCAACACACCGTTTAGAAACTC